ACCTTGAGAATATACCCTGGAGTATTTATTACTGAGTATGATTGTTACCCGATTCAGTACATATTTTGATACGCAGAATGCAGCATGTCCCCCTTTCACCTTAGGGATGTAAATAAGTATTTTTGTAAACATGCACTATGTTACTTATATATGACAGCAGATCCTGCAAATCCTTATTTTGCTTCTTGCAAAAAAAAAAAAAAAAAAAAAAAGCGCAGATTTATCCAAATGATGCAACAAAAGATAGAAAGGAACTCCTGGCTAGAACCAATTTCCAAATGTCTTGGTTACACTGAATCCTACCCATTTTCTCAAAATAGCTTTAATGACCTTATTTAATCACAGCCTTTCACATACCAAATGAGGCAGCACATGATACACTGTGCAAGAAAAATTGGAGAGGCTGCAAAATACTGACCAGCTTTCTTGGTAGCAGAAGACACAGAATGCTCATCCTTAGGTGATCATGTGATTTCTGCCTCCCCCCCTCCTTCCCATCTTTTTGGGCTGTATGCTGCCAAGTGTTACAGAATCAAATGCTGGGGCTCAGTGAAACTGATTCCAGGAGCACATGGGATGATGGACATCCCTTAGCCATTTGGTAGCCCAGGCAGCTTTGATGGCTACAGTTGAAGAAGGTCTGGATGGTGAATCCACCAATGTGCCAGGTTGTTAAAACCTGCTAAATAAAGTGAGGACTTCCCACTATGCCAAATTCTCCTGATGAGACTTTAACAATCAAGCCAAGAACTTTGCTCCTTCCCCACTCACAGGAAGAGAGATATGCCTTGATTCAGCAATGTGTTTTATCAGGTGCCTCAAAATACTCTATCAAGTGGTCTCCACTGTCCTCAAGAACCTTGCCCCAGTTTAGATAAAATGTAAAAGATAACTCAGTCTGATCTAATTAAGTGAAAGGAAAGTGTGACCTGCCTTTTAGCCTACAGGGGCAAACAGTAGAGATTTTAGCATCATACATCAGGTTGGTTGTTGTATATGAAATAAGCTGGTGCTTATGTATCTAGGTCACAGACCAGCAGCATTTCTTCATATGAACCATCACTAGATCAACAGTCAGCAAAAAAACATGAAAGGTTGAATACACTGAGTGATTAAGTAAATACACGATTCAGGCCTATTTTCTCTAGAAATTCATGAGAAAGCTGTAGACAGCCACTGCATATATTCCTGTTGTCTTTGATAGACAGAAGGCTTCAATTTCCAGGAGTGTCAAATCTGGCAGATTCCCTAACCCTAAAAGTTTTAGCTTTCCATGATTTTCAGAGCTTACCAAGGATTTAGCTTACTAAGCTCAGTTAACCATAGCATGGTTCATGCTCTTAAAATATGTCTTTGCCAAAATCTGTTAAAGAAATTCCCTTCTCCTATTACTCCAAAATACAAAACAGGGTGGTTTTTTTGTCTGTAACATCTTCTAGTTCAGGAAGCACTTCATCCACATCGCTGGATTTCCTTGGGCCACACACAGGTTGGGTTTGAGAGTGAATGTTGAAATTCATTAAATTAAGCATTATGATGAAATTAAGCAGTACGTTTTAGCTTAAACCCTTCAAAATAATAAATAACTGATGATGAATTTTCAAGGGGATTGTGCCTCAGGATACAAATGTGAAACCTCCTTGGCTTGCACAAGGTAAGACAATCAGACCAAACTTCCTATAAATACAAGGCCCAAATCAGGCCTTGTTAGACCAATATTCACAAATCTACTTTGCTACTTTGTAGTAACAGGAGAAAACAGCAAGAGAAAAAGGGAGACTTAATATTGCTTCAGACTGTCTCTCCTCCAAATTAAGCACTTTCAGTGCAGGTCGGAGATGACATAGCAGCTGCAGAGCATGTTGAATTGATTTTGCCAGTTATGTGCCTGCATGGGTCTGCTTTTCACTTTAGTAACTGGAGGGTTAATTAGTTCTGGGAGTGTAAACAAGTTGGTTAAGCAGGAGTCCCAACGAGCTGCCACGTTCCAATCAGCTAAGGCTTAGGAGCAGACTAAACATGTTTCAGGAATAACTAACCTGCTTCCCTGAACACCTATTTGCTAAATTAAAATGAAGCCAGAGCTGTGCAGAAGTTGGAGAGCTGCTAGCAACAAGCTGGTTAGGCTGTTCTTCAGACCTGTGGGTTTCTGAAGTCATTTTCTATAAGAAAATTCAAGCTGCACCTTTAGTAAGAGAAATCTCAGATAATTAGACCCTGCCAGTTTATTTCATACCTTTAAACATTTTATTTAAGAAGAAAAGAACATTTTTCTCCTAGAACATACTTGGGGAAAGTTGTTTCTCTATATGACAGTCTGCAGAATGGACATTTCATGTCTTTTTCAGTAACTGAAGGAATTTAAATGGGTGAGAAGAAAATAACAAGATAGAGATGGTTCAAATGGGCTCTCGTTCTTTCAAAAAACTTCAAAATGGCTGAAGTATTCCAGTGACAATTTTATTCTTCTCCCAATGTCTGTATTTTGCCAAAATTCATGAAAACAAAAAGATCTTGAGTTGGTAACTAAAACTGGAGTTTCACAAGGGAGGGCAGATCAGGTGCTCCATGCCAAAATTTCCAGGTCATCCTATTTTTTCCCATTATGAGTCACGGTCACTAGTGTCCATTCTGGAAAGTCCTTGGACAGTCCAAATGGAAAACAAACCAGATCTTTCCTGGGCACCATGACCGGAGTCTGACTGGAAGTATCAGACTGGATGTATTTGACATTTTGTGGCAAAGTACATTTGTTCAAAGCTCTCGGCTGTTTAGGAAGAAACTAAAATGCATATAGAAAGCAGGAATACTGAAAAATCTTATTGAATGATTTTTCTTTGAAAAGCAGAAATTTTTGGTCACTGTATTCAAAGGCCTTCATTTACTTTGAACGTAAATACAACAGAGTTAAGATTTTCGCGGAGGACTCATCTCTGATTTAACTTATATTCAACCAGCTCATCCCAAATGAATGGTGCCAAAGACTACCAATCCCTGCAATTTTTGGGCTTTAAAACCTACACCATTCTCAGAAACATAGTTAGAAATGATCTAGTAATGATAAAAATCACACGTGCAGATATCTTGGACTGTATAAGATACTGGTTTTCTTCAGTAATACACTCAGGAAATATTGTCACTCTCAATTTTTAGTCTATTTAGTTCTAGGTGAACACATACGTATACTACATTGAAGTATCTCATTTGTATACATCAGGCTATCCACATTTTACCATATGGAGGTATCACATTATTAATAGCTGTTTTCTTTAAATAGACTACAGTTTGCTTTAATCTTCCTTTCTGTGCATGATCTTGCAAGAGTAAAAAGGCTTTCATACAAAGGCTGTGTTTTTATATGCAAATCTATCATTTGATTACACACTTTTTTGTCCCTACATTATCATGAATATTTCTGATGAATGTTTTATGGGTTAGGTTTAGGATTTGTGAGCTATTTCAAATTTTATCTGTTTGCCATATCATCTGCAAATACTGCGTCTTTGTTGATGTTGATTGGTCTCATTTACATATTTATCACACTTTTATTTTCAAGGATGTTTTGCTATAAACTGTCTGTCCCCATTTCTCCCCCATGTACTAATAGTACATAGATATATTTTCAAACCAAGCTCATTTCCATATATAATTTTTTTGGTTAACAATAAATCACCACTTAGAGACATCCTATTCAATGCAATCGCTACCTTCATACATATCTGACATATGGTTTCTGAGTAATTAAAGATAACAGGAGCAGTTTACAATGCACTTTGCAACCCACTTCATAGTCCAGAGAGCTCAATGATTTTCCACAACGACTAGGCTAAAAGGAACCCTGCAGGACTGGGGAGAAACAAGTGCCAACAAAACTGGCCATGCAGAGCTGATCTCATTCCTAACTGCTAACTCTTGGCTACAAAAAAAAAAAGACCTTCTTTTTGTTTTCTCAAGAAAAATGTTTACAGTGGTACTTGATGGGGTTATGAGGGTCTGGATCTATGATTAGGGTGCAGCAACTGGAGGCTTTTTAGTGTGTACCATGTGCCAACAGCAGACTCCTGAACCTATAGTGATGCCCTGAAATGGATATCATGCTTCAGAAAAGGCCAGGTGCCATGTGATCTCTACCACTTGCTGCTGACCAGCAGCTCTTCAATCCTTCTTGCACATTTACTACTTGTTCTTCATCTATCCATACTTCTCTAGGTTCAAAATCCTTTCCCTTTTCTTGCCATACCTTCTGGTGTGTTCGCCTTCTTGCTAAATCCCTTACTTATGCAAGAGTATGAGGGAAAAAGGTAGAAATGATGCAGAGAAATGTTGGTAATTGATTCCTTTTTAGTTTTGCTGTTACACTCATAGCACTGAAAAAGGCACTGACGTTAAAGTGCATTTCCCCACTCCCACTCAGAATCCTCTTGGGTGAACAGCCTGTTTGTCACCGTCTCCTGTCAGGGTGTAAGCACTGGGTGTGCTCCTAAACAAAATGTTGTGATTTGCTCATATATGAAATAACTCAGAAAAACTGTACATGGCCCTGACAATTGCCCATAAGAAACTTCTCTCATGCATCCTGCTAGCTGACTCTGAACATGCACAAAACAATCTTATTTATTCATTAGTGAAAAGAGAATCAGCTGCCCTGTTATGAACAGGAGTGTTTTCCTCCTAATCTTCCACTGGTTTATTACAATCTATTACAAAGTTCTCAAAATAATCAGTTTCCCATGATCTTCTGCTATGGCATTTTATTTATTAATTGCAATGACACTCCACACTGAATCAACCCTTTGACCAAGGACCGCCTGCTGGCTGATAGAAAAATGTATTGGAACATAGTCTTAAAAAAAAAGTTTCTAATTTTTTAAACAGAAAGATGAAACTAGATGAAGGTCAGAGATAGGGGCTTGCTCACAGGCAGTAAAAGGAGCTGCAACCAGAAACTGCTGTTTCGAGTAAAATAGTTGTTTCCGAGTAAATATTGACACAATACGTACATTTTCTCTAGGTCACCAAGTCCTGCAAAAGCTCCTTTTGGAATGACTCTCATCTTGGTGAGGACAAATCTCCTGAAAATAGAGAAAATGGGGTGATTATTCACTATTCACAACACAGGACTGCGTGGCAGCCTTGTCAGCACAGGAGAGGCTTTTATCACGGGTACAAGGATAGTCTCCAGCCTGAGGGCTTCGGAATCTAAACACAGCTGTAATGTTCAAAGTATTCATGGGACTCCAACTGCCCGCCCAGACCAAAATTACAACGCAGCGCTGAGCTTCTCAGCATCTGGAGCTGCTCAGGGGAAATAGCATCCATCAGTAGTTGCAATTTCCCTGTTTGCTTCAATAAGAAACCCAGACGCAGTCACTGCAGCTTTGCTGTGCGCTGGGAGGAGGCAACATCTTTCTCATCTCAACCTCTCTTTTGAGAGATGCTCAAGCACAGGATGAAGCAGCCCTGTGGAGCCAGACCGGGATGAGTTTCTTACACAAGGTTGTAAGGTGGTACATGCATGCCCATGCAAGATAAGCCTTAACCTGCTGCACAGATAATTTAAGGAGTCAGCTACTATCTCCCGTCAGTGCAACATTAATACCCTTTATTGCTTCTCAGTCTCTCTTCAAATTAGTTCATAATGTGCCACAAAACTGGGACTTTGGAACACACAACTCAATCACACATGCACCAAGACAACAATTTAATAATTTTTTAAAAGTCACAAAATACGCTTTATCAAAAAAAAAAAAAGTTTAAAATATCATATAAACCTTTTTGTTTAACCTGGACCCATCTCCTTTTATCACAATAAACAAAGAGGATGACAGAACTTCTGATGGCACTCAGCAAATGAAAGGTAGGGTATCTACTATTCCTTGGAGAAATGAGGTGTTATCTGGGTAATTGTTTTCTTTCACGCATTTAATCATTCATAGATAGTGAGCACAAACAATTGCATATATTAACATGACCTGCTCATCAAGATACATGCTTCACATGATACACTTATGACTAGATGCCAGGTCAAGAAAGTATAGCTGAGACATGAGAAAGCCCACAGAGATTTTGCAGGGAGAAATATCGTATTTTTGTATTTGTTGCTCAGAATAAAAGTCACATTCAAACTCCCAGGTATTAAACACAAAGAAGATTAAATAAGCAAGACATCAGATAATACTGGTTGTATAGAATGATAGCTGTTAAAAAAAGAGTTATTTTATTTTTTAAAAATACATCACCTCTGTTACATACGTGAATACTACCCTGTGATTCAGTTTCTTAGTCTATTTTCCCATGGAAATGGAAATGAATTGTTTTCCGAATTACTGTGGAAGTCTTTTTTTCAGTGAGCATGCCTGCTAGAGCATCCCTCATTTTTATCATCTCCGACCTGGTGTTGCATGGCTGCTTGAGATTGCCTTTCAGCTCATGTCTGTGCTGCCTTATTGTAAGGTCTGCAGGAGGACAGAAGTGGGAAGTCAGCCTGGTATTACCTACTGTGTAGTGCTGGAAATTTTAACACAATACCTCAAAACTAGAGACTTACTTTCTTACCGTTCACATAAAGTATTTATACAATCCTCATCTATTTTTTATTGCAGCTGATTAGTTTAGAATTTTCATGGGAGATTATCATGTTTTAATCAAAGTCATAGGGAAAAAAGTATTATTCTGATAGAATACCACTGTGAAATGTTCCTATTTTTTAATTGTAGGTCTTTAGTAGAATCTACCCCCTCATTTAGATTCCCAAATATAAGTTAATATTTACTTAAGTGGGACAAAGTCAATGCATGCCTCACCTAGCTCTAGAGATATCACTGTGATTACATACTGTGAACTTGGCCCCATGCTTTTTTAAAAATTGAAGTTTATGGCATTCTCAGTCCTGAAAGATGATAAAGTCAATTTGGTATTCCATTATTCTTGTACTATCATTAATGTAAGTCAGAAAGAGCTTCAACACACTGTCACACAAGAATTACAGTATTGAGATCATTATGCAAATGTTAGAAGGATTAAAGAGCTTCCAGAAAACACCTAACCTGGATTAGGCAATTTGTAAAGCCCTACTGAAAACATGGCTGGTGTAATGCATGCAAAACCATGGCTGTGCTTTCACAGTGCAGCTAGGTACAATGGATCCTTGCAGAACACCCAGCAGGCTTAGTGCTACAAAGCTGACCCATCAGGAAACTCTTTAACTTTGATCTGCTTTGAAACCTTTCCTAAACTCTCCTTTGTAGAAACGCACACCTAATTTTGGAGCCCTAGAAAGTGGCTCTGTCTGAAAAGCCACCTATAACTTTTTTATGGCAATGTTTGAAAATGAATGTTCTCTCTGCAGGTGCAGATCATCAGGAGGGTTGCAACTTTTTCATTAAACACTGGCCTACGCCACGCTTCAGCACAACAAGAATTTACCACCTGATCCCAAAACTAATTAAAAGAGGGGAACCTCATTCATAAATGAGGTTACCTATATGAGGAAAGACACAAGTGCATCAAGTGCATAGAAGTAAAAATCAAACCTTGAGTTTCTGTGTTAAATACCCTGCAATCCTGCGTTAATAAGGTGCCAGAATTCAGGAGCCATATGTATAATGCTCTGGAGCAGTTAACGTAGAATTGAAGTTTAATAGCAGAAGTCTCACATTCCACATTAAAAAATTAAGGTTAATTGTTTTTAAACATTCCTGAGTAGGCTAATAAAGTCAGCCTTAATAGTATAATGAACACTGAAAATTAGAATCAGCTGCTTGTTGAATTATCAACTGTATAATGAATAGGAGTCTACTATAACTAGTCAAATGCTGTATTGTCAACAAATCTCACCAATTAGGCTCCAAGAATCAATCTGTACTTAACTTGAGATACTGGCTGTTCAGTGCTAATTCTTTATGAGGTACATGGAGAAAATAATTGAAAAGCATTTCCTTGGGTTTGTTGCTGGCATTATTTTAGGGTCAAAGAAAAGAATACATCTCACCTTCATTCAAGCATGTTTCATGCCAAGACAAACAAGTAAACAAAAGCATCCTTCAAAAAAACATGTGCTTAATAGACAGATGCAGTATTTGGTCCTAAAAATTATGCTAGCACTTAGGCACCAGCAAGGAAAACACTGAAAAGCCTAAACACTCAGTGCATGGCATGGAATTGAAAACCTACAGCCAGGTGCTCAACATAAGGTGTGAGAAAGGTTAGACTGAAAGTTAGGTGATCCAAAAATCTGTACGCAGAGCTAGCCCCCCGGAAACACCAGATCTCATCTCCCAGAGCTTTCAGCTGTGCATCAGAGCTACAGGCGTAGCACCAGCCTCAACACACACAGGGAGCTCCGCTCACAGCAGGCTCTGCCAGGAGGGAGGAAGGCATCGTGGTCTCCCAACACAGCCCTGGCAGCTGAAGCGCAGACACAGGGAACGGGAGTCATGGCTTCAAGTCCCCCCTCACCCTGAGCGGTGCAAACTCCCCTATTTCATGCCCCAGGAGGACACTCAGCGGCCAAGGGACCTATCCCTGACTAAGCTCAAGCGTTGTGCAGCCAGGGCTAGACTCCTTGTGCCGCCAGGCACAGGGGGAACTTAACCCTACCACCTTCTCTAAAGGCATTACAGTTAGAGCTGATTTCCCTGGGACAGATTAAAAAAAATAATTACACTTTTTTAAGTCCAGCTTTCAGGATGCTATTGTTATTTAGGCTACAGCAGGTCCCAGAAGTCCTAGCAAGGACTCCAGCATTGGAGCCACCAAAAACTTAACAAACGAGAGAACAGAAACAAGCCCCAAATAGTGACATGGTTATCCTGAATCATGAGAAGGCAATATACACATCTGGAAATAGAAGAATGGCAATATTAACTACGTACAGAGGTATAAGCTAGATTTAAGTCTGGCCCATTGCTCCTATACATGCCCTAATATCCACGAGAGGTTTCTAAATCCTGATTTAAATACTTCTGTTGAAAGCGATTCTTGTGGATTTTATTGATAGGAACTGAAGTTATCTGCTGCAGTTGTACAATCACACTTATACTTTATATATTTAAATATATGTGTGTTATGAACTATAATATAAATATTTACTTAAATATATAA